ACTGGGATGGCTTCATCTGGCACACAAAGCGGGCTGGTATTCCATTGAGCATCTCCTCTTGAAGGGATAAGCCGCCTTCCTTCAGCGTCCACTCTGCCTGCTTCACCGCCGACTCCGAGCGACCACCGACTCTGAGATTGAGCTCCATGAGCTTCAAGTCATGCTCATGTCTGAGCCTGGCAAGCACCAGTGTCTGCTTATCCAGAAGTGGCATCTGCTGCTTCATGATCTCCCACTGTTTGGCAAAGGCCATTTGCTCCTGATCCACTGCAGCATGGCATGGAGAGGCATGCAGATCCTCCCGCAGTTCTGTAAGAATCTCTCCACTGCAGGTGATCTTCACAGCACCTGGTAAGACTCCTAGAGCCTCCGCCACTTTCCGCTTTGCTGCCTGCAGGATATGAGTTCTGAAGCATTCAAACTCATGCCCAAACTACCTTCCCTATTCCAAGAGGACAGAGGTCTAAAATTCGATCTCGAGGGGGGCAGTTGTTCAAAGTCACTTGTCCCTCAACCCTGACCTCCAAACCCTTCTCTGGGTCGATGCTGACAGAGTTGCCGTTGAGGAAAAGAACTTCGATGGCCATTTCACACGCAGGGGATGGGGCAGAAACGGCCTTTGAGACTCCAAACACCCAGCACACAGACAAAAGTGCGAACTTTCTGATGCTGCACGTTGCCTCATGCGGAAGCCAAAAGACCACAAGTGCCCGAAGCTGAAATTACTCCGAGCTGCTGCCCTGCAAGCTCTGTAAGAGCTGACCGCTGACCGCATTTCCATCACCCTGGATTATTAGATGGGGAGGTTTATTCATCAGCATTTACATCATATTACTCATGTCGCTCATCTCTCCCACATCATCTCCGCTCTTGCTCTCCCTCTCTCTCTCCCTCCCTCCCCCTCAGGAGACCGCACGTTGTATTTCCTGGAGCCCGGACGGCCGGCACTCGCACGGCCAGAACCACTTTCTGACAGAGTCCTCACTTGCAAGGGGAGCCTGTACTGAAGAGTGGCCCAAGACTCCAAGCAAATTCCTGGAACCCATCTTGCACTATACAAAAAATAGCCTATTCTATGACTGGTCTCTTGATTTACAGGAACAGGAAGATCTCCTGAAGATCTCGGTGATTTCCTCCTAGTAGGCATCGGCCTGGTTCCTGGCGATCAAATAAACTCATCGAATGATTTGGAGGTATCCAAGGTTTTGCACCAGGCTCTGTAAATGCGTAGATTGTGCAAAGTCCCTTGCCAAGGTGACTGTCTCATCTGACAGCCCCTTCCATGGGTCTTGTTGTCCTTGTGGCAATCATGTTGGATCTTCCTTTCCCGAACGCTCTTATTCATCACACAGACTTACTGGAATCATCGCTCACTACACGCCTCAAGCTCTCATAACTGAGCATTCTGGAAAGCAAATTTGGAATGTCATGGGGTGGACGATGTTGTGTTTCAAGATTTGACGATGCCTGTAAGCAAAGAATTGAGAACTGCCTTGAAGGCAAGTAATGATTGTTTTTTCCGCTCGGTGCCTTCAAAACCGGATGTGGCATGATGTTGGTATCTTCGATCTCCATCATCCTCTCCTGGCTCGAAAGGTCAAAGCTGTGTGATAAAGCAGCTATGTAGGGTCTTCTTTGTTCGGCAAACATATTCCCTTCACTGAAATGCCGTCGCCAGTACTTGATGAGGTTAGTCTTCAGAGCACATCCTGGTGGCCCATAGGTGTAGAACCCACTGACACCCCCATAGATCTCAGATCCCTGCCAGAGCAGAACGTCCAGGTGAAGACGTGTTCTCTCATATGCGTTCCCATACCAGCACTACCACAAACCACCATCATCGCAATCTCTATTTATTCTATTTTATTATCCATCTACTGTTTGGAACCTCATGCAGTGTTGTGAGGGCATTTAGAACGACTGAAACAAGTCGAACTCACTTTGGTGCGCCGCACTTCTCTGCAGGAGGCTGAGTCGCTGATGCTACAGGGCACAGGGCCTTCCGTTTCAACCTGTATATCAGTGAACACAAAGGTGAAATCACTCATGTCTCATGCCCCAAGTGAACGGCCCAATATTTGAGATGGCTCTACTCTGCACATCAGAATCTGAGACCAAGACCCACTCACTGCTGAACAAAGTGAGTCATGTATCAAGAATGGAATCCCGAAGCAATCCATTTACAAGGACCACCAACTCCAACCTAGTAGCTTGCCAAAAAAAACCTGGTGCGCAGCCACTCGCACTTTTCCGATTCACCATTACGCAAATAAGTCAAATTCAGATTCTGTGTCCGAATCACTGGATGCAGATTCACTAGATGAGCTGCAGTCATTGTGGATGGCACCCACCTCGGACAGTTTCCGCAGCATCAGCACACGGAACACCTTTGCGTGACCATGCTGGGAAGCCAATGAAAAGGCTGTTCGGCCTCTGCTGTCAGCATAATTTGCGGCAGCTCGTGCTTCCAAGAGCATGCGCACAAGCTTGACGTGGCCGCACCCCGACGCATACATTAGGGCTGTCATCCCCATGACATTTTTGTTTTTGCGGAAGATCCAATTTCTATATGTGATGGGACGTTCGTTCACGTCAGGTAGTTTATAGAAGGGCACGGGCACATCCACTCCGGCCTTTAATTCCAACAGAGAGCGCGCAACCTCTACGCGTGGATCGTGCTCAAGCATGATGATCAGAGCGGGAAAGCTGTCTGTGAAATGGGCGCCTTCTTCCAGCAAAAACTCCACAGACTTCAACGAATACGACCAACATGGAAGCCAACCATCATCATCTCGTTCTGACACAGCAGCACTTTGCAGGGCCTCGTCCAGGAAACCTGAGATGGCTCCACCCAGCAGTTGCCGAAAAACTTCGATGATGCTGCGGTGTCCTCGTTTAGCAGCAGTATGGAGGGCTTCCACAACGGGCAAACCGTAGTAATCGTCGCCGAGAGGGCCCCAAGAATGTCCATCCAAAAGCACGCGCAGAATCTCGGCATTCCCGTGAAAAGACGCAGTAACAACACCTCGACAACAACACGTCATACGGTCATCACGCTCCCAATAAGATTCTTCTGAACGCACGCTCAGATGCTGCAGCAGTACTCGGAGAGCCTCCACGTTCCGATGCGAAATTGCTTCAAGGAGAGGGGGATCCCGCACTTGGGGTATTTCATGCTCGGGTTTTGCACGTGCCTCAAGCAGCAAATGGATTGCCTCGATCTCGTCTCTTCCTACTGCCTCATAGAGGCTGTCTTGCAACGAATCAAAGGCATGAAAACCTTTCGGTACCAGCAGCCGCAAAACCTCTAGATTTTCCCAAAATCGGATGGCTTTGGAACAGTGAGCCCTGGCCTCCAAGAGCAACCGCACTGTGTCGGCATGTCCTGCCTTCGACGCGATGGAGAGTGGACTGGGAGAGGATATTGACGTTTTCAAATTGGGGTCGTGGGAGTGCATCAAGATCTTCTCAACCTCAGATGCATCGCCACTCTTCACTGCGTTCTGGAAATGGAGTATCTGCTCCTCCGAGCTGCTTGTGAAGCTGCTCAGCTTGATCAGTTGGACATCCAGAGGAGAGTTTAGCGGAAGGGTGTCATCCAAAGTCCGGCCATCATGCAGGAGCTTTAGCCTGAAGCGCGGCCACCCACAGATTGGCTCCAACTGCCCTTTCAGGGATCGCACGTCGCTCAAGGTCTCGACAGGTATAGCCGCCAATTCTTCCCCAGAAGGCAAATAGACGCGCAGCATCAGCGGTCTTCCTGCGTGAAAGTGAAGTGTGCCTGCTGATCCGTCAACATCCACGGGCTCAAGTATATTTGTTGAAGCCCTTTCCATATATATATATATATATTTATATTACAATCTAAGACATTATATATTTGTAACATGCGGAATTATACCATTATATATATAGTTTGTAGATGTATATTCTGCTTTGATCGACGTTTGCTGTAACAATCCCATGTTTGTGCTGTTCTGCAAACTTATATACAGTATCAGAATGGTTGAAAAACTTGTTTCCTCATTCATGCTTGTGCAATGCCTTGTTCATGACCTGCTGAACAACCACAAGCTGTCAACGTCTGACCATGTACATCGATCACATACAAAGGCAGGACAAAAGTTGGTAACAAGCCTGCGAATACATGACCTACAACCGTTTCCCCTTAGAATCCTACAGCGGATCACAGTGGAATTCCCACGGATTAATTTCAACCCCGAAGTACATTTACATTACAACTTCGTCCGGGGTGGACTTTCCGCCAGAATGCCGGAAAGAGAAGTCATGTCATCTCGAGTGAAGTTGTTACACGTTCTTCATGAAGCAGTGCCATTCCCATACGGAATGGCTTTGCGATTGGACTCATTGGACGAAAGCCCAGCACTGTCGAGTCCGAAGGTGAATCCGGTGTTCCCATTCGGGACGGTTCCAAAATGAATCCGGTGATGGGTAGCAAAATGGCAGGCATGGAAAGACATCAGAACCACCGACCATTGCAGGATGCAGATGAGGACAAAACGAGACATGTTTCCATATGTGTCCATTCTTCTAAGGGTCGCATTGTGTATTTTTTTGCACAAGAAATGGAGGTCACGCTGCACGCCCCAATCTCTTCTTAGATCTGTCAGACTCTGTCCTGACCGCGCTTTGAGCGAGGTAACTTTGCAAATGAACCACTTGAGCGGTCCTTCATATGTACTTCTTGTCAGGTGAGACGATTAGTCGAACAACTTCCCCTGTTCCTGATCTGTCAAAAATCCGGAGTTTTTGAGAGAAAAATGGGAAGATGCTGTGACACGCCACTGTCACAGTCACAGTGCATTCGATTCAAGTGCATTCGATTCAAGGAGGAGCAAACACAGGCTTGTAGTGTCGGATCATCAATAGTTTGAAGGACCTATGACCTATGATGGCTGTCATGGCCAGGATGTTCCACCAGATATCGCAGCACCTCCGCTGTGAGGCACGAGCGCTCTTCGCCCGGCATGGAGCGAATTTCACTTGTCATGAAGAACGCGATACCTGGGGCAGCATAGCAAGCCATCAAGGCTCTCTCTCTCTCTCTCTGCATGTTCTACATCTTTGTCAGCTTCCACTACATAGTAGAATTTGCAAAAATGGACCCGTATAGCAGCCGTGGTCCTCTTTCCACGGGGCATTCAGCTCATAACGCACCCAGAACCTGAGGTCCAACGAGCCCCCCGAGGACCCGGCCCAGTCCAACCAGCTGGAGCTTCCCAGTCATACTGCTTCATGTACCTTTGAAAAAAGCACAGGAGGCAGAAAACGATGAGGCATGGAAGATCACGACATATCTTAGTGTCTGAAAACGATCTTTGTCAGAGTATGGGAGCTGAAAAGGTCAAGGAGTCAGGGGATCTGCCGATCTGGATGAAAATCTCCCGACTAAACCATGAGGATTCTGCTGTCAACCGTGCCAACTTCGGCGAGTCTCACTTTCATTGAAGCCACTGCATCCGTTCTGTAGGAGTGAGTGTCTCACTTGAGTCAGAAGCATTCAAATGAAACATATTCCTCTTAAAATTGCCAGGTGGAAAATCGGTGATTGTCTCTATGGTTTGGGTGCAAAAGAAATACAATTAAATAGAACAACAAAAAAATAACGCATCCGGTCCGCATCCGCTCCGTGTTCGGCTCGATCCAACCAGCTCGCCCACCTCAGCAAGGCGGCTGAAGGCCCATCCTCCGTCGCCAAGAGGAATCGAGTCACCTGACAACTCAGACGTACTCAAGAGTCCAATTGTGAATAATTAATGAGCAAGTATTGTTATATAAAGTAGTATTGTTTGATATATTGTTTAATGTCTTACTGTATTTTTATATATTTGATATACAGTATATATAGTATTGTTTGCTTACCAATTCAGTAAGAAATCCTCATGCATGAAATCATTGGTATTCAAATATATGCATTCGCCTAAGACTAAGACTCCATGGCTTGTCGGCTAGTTGTCTATCACTGTCCTCGTTCCTGGCTCAACCAGTTTCGCATTTCCAAACCATGAGTTGTCTTATCCTGCTTCCGCTGTCTGCAGTGCACTATAGTGCACTGCATATTCTGCAGCAGCCTCTTCCTATAGATGCTCCAACAAAGCTTTTTGGTACGAAGGCGGGGTGTCAATCAAGGAGCAACAAAAACAAACACATGCATCAAATCAAAACAAACCGGAAATCCGAACTTCTTTATGTTTGATGCTGTTGCAACGAAGCTCCAATAAAACAGGACCCAATGTGGTTCTGGTGAATAACCTCTTCTGGTTTTCCACTCATGACCTGGGGAAGGCCTCCGATCGTCGTTCGATTGAGTTCCTAGTCTACTAGCTGCTTTTCTCATCCGATGTCGTTCAGAATGCCATTTCCACCCTAAATGGATCGCTTTGACCACCAGAAATAGGTGCGGTGGGGTGAATTCTGGCCCCTGTGACCACCTATTACATTTGGACCTCTTGGTTTCTTTCTTCAACTCACGTGTTGGGAAAGATTTTCCTCTGCTCAACTGCTTGTCACTGCCGCCAGCCTCCAGCATGTCCTTGGCCACTCCCCACTCGCCAGCCTGCAACGGGGCTCTAGTTGGTGATTGGTTTTCTGAGTGTCGCAGGTGCGACAGTCACTGTGACACATTACCAAGCCATCACAACACAAGCCAGGACCAGCCATGGCCATGGCCTCGTAGTTCAAGTACGCCATGTTGAATCGGCAAAAGAACCTAGGCAAAGCATGCTGATTTCACCAGTGCAATCTTGACTTGTGTAGAATCTCCGATTTGACTATGCCCACCATGTGAGAGGGGAGAGAGGTAAGGGGAGGACAACAGGAGATGAGTGGCTTAAGGTTTCCAGTGCATTTCCCAATGTCCTGTGTATATATATATATAAAGAACAACAAGCAACTTGGCCATTCACTGAGACACTGGATTCACAGAGTACACGCCGCAAACAAACCAACTGGAACCAGCGTCATTATTTTCTGGCAACTGGCAAATCCTTTGCTCCACAAATATTCTCTCGACCACCTGTGTCCCACCCGCAGCTGTTTTTTGAGTTACACCGCAGCGATTTTTTGAGTCACACCGTGTGCGTCCCTCATGAGTGTTTGAGTTTGTGTCTCAAATGTATTATATATGTACTCTCCTAGTCCTGGATAGTCCTAGTCTGTTTGAGGTCATCCCAATCCTTTCTCTAACTCTTCTATCAAGCCACTCCGAGGTGAACTTGTTGCGCATGGTCACGATATCAGCATCCCTCGTGAGCATAAAGCACATCCTTGGAATTCAAGTCTGTCCATCCTTCTCTCTGTCTGAAAACAATAGCAGCAATCCTTTTGACGCAGTAAGTCAGTAAGTCCAGCCAAACAGCCAGTGAAGTTCTCCCGAAACATGAGGAAAAATAAACGATTCTCTCTTTGGGCCTCATCCAAGATGTAGTGAGTTTCCCAATGGCCCAATATCTCCCCAAATCAACCATGTACGACAGTGATTCCAATGTAACCATCCCAGAAAACCCAATATCTCGCTGTCGCATAAATGCGTGCGTGCGCCAAGACGCTGGAAGTCGTCGCTCCAGCGTTCAGCCTTCGTCCGTTCTCTTTCATGGCCTCGAGTGGCCCCGCACGTCGCCACGCGAGTCGCACGTCGCACGCGACGAGAGGCTTTTTGAGACGAGAGACGGACGGGATTTCAGTGGAACCCACGGAGAGGAACCCATGAGGAGAAAGAACCCCCTCCGTAGACATCAAAGTGCATCAAAGTGCCACGTGCCATGATGCTTTTGAACAGAATTATCTGGGGCGAAGCATTTGAAGAATATTATCCACTTCTGCCGGCTTCCATGCAGGCTCCAAACAAAATTGACATATTATATAAATATGATGAAATGATGCATCTCGCAAAGATGCACCGAAAGCCTTGTGAGTAGCGCGACAAAAGCAAAATGGCTGGTTTGAGTACAGGATTCGAGAAATCCTAAGCGAGGTGAGACATTGAAACTGTGCATTTCATCTACAACAGCTGTTCAGCTGTTTCATCTACAGCTGTCCCAGGGAGATTGGTTGGCCGATTTGGACCACCCCGTCTTTCGGGGGTCTCCGGAGTCCGGTCTTTCTCAAGGTTTAAACTTGGTCCGACCGTCTGTCCATGGGGACAGGGCACGGCACCAGCCCAGATGCGGCAAGTGATGAGTAACAAATGAAGAAAAAAACAAGCTACTAGTAACAAGGGGCATTACGGCATTACTACTAGTAGCGTCCGAAGCTACTAGTAGCAAAAACAAAAATCAACGTGGAGATGAAAATCCCAGGCTTCGCCATGTTCCAAGCGCCCAACGGAGTCGGTACTTGTCTTTCTTCTGCGCAGCCTTCCAGAGTTGGACAAGGAACAGCGACTGCGCAGTGCACAGGGATCAACATTTTGTATAGCATTAGTAAAAGGACTCCAACTGTCCACAAGCATTGTTTGAAGTGCTGATCCTATTCTAGTCAACACTCCATGATTCTCTTGATTTCTGTTCCAGGCTTCGAGACTGGTATGAATGAATGACTCTTTGAAAAATAATAGACTTCTCATCTCGCATCGTGTCCTGCCGTCGAATTGTCGCCACGTGCACCTCGCGATTTTGAGTCTCGGTCTTGCGAGCACCATCGGACAAGGTTCCTGCGAGGGCTCCGACGCACGAGGGCTTCGACGCGTCGGTTCCTGTTCTCTCCGAAGGTGGAACGGTCAGAGACGGTGCCTGAGAAACGAATGGGCTTCCGATTGTCTCTTCCAGGATTGCCATGTCTAAATCATGTATGACGAGACCTGAAGAGGCATGGCCGCATGGCCGGCCCTTGACAAACCGGTGATCACCCACGTCCTTGCACTGGCTGAGGAGGAGTTACTGCAGCTTCAACCTCCCGCAAAAGCACTTATATACATGATCTTACATGTGCAAATCAGCGCCTCGATTTGCCGTAAAAAAATATTGCCCAGGCACGTGCTACCAAAAATAATTCATAAGAAAGGCATCTCAGAACACCATCCTGTTCAACCACTGGCTCGTTACATCTTGTCACTGGCTCCTCCAAGGCCAAGTCGTTCAAATCATAGGTGTAGAGCTTGAACGGCTCCTTTTTGGGGGGCTGCAGAGGTCTGAGGATTAGGGCTTTACCAGGGCCCCATAGGTCTGAGGAACCAAATTCCAAAGAATCTTCCCTCGACAGGGAAGAAAGTCTACCGGGAGCTGGGGGTAAAGCAACTTAGGCAACGTTGGTTGACTCTCATTGTCTGATATTTTCTGATCAGTGCCCGCGCCAACATTGTTTCTCGCACATGCTGAGTAGATGTTGCAAAGGCCTTTCTTGAGATGCTAGAAACTGCTGGGATTCACAGATTCACAGCGGTAAACCTGGTGTTCTAATGCAGACTCCGTCCTTGGTTGCAGAGAGCCTCACATGGTCGATGATCCGGCATTCCTGGACGCTCCGGTGGTGTCGGTGTCATGGTGTGACTCCCATCGTGGCCGTGCCTCGGAGACCTCGACAGACATCAGCTTGATGATAGCATCCGTCATCAAGATGAGGCAACCATACTGCTTGGTCACTGCCTGCGAGGTTTCTCATAGGTTCTCATGATTTCTCCAGTTTTTTTTGGCATGCGGAGGAGATGAATGCAAACTCAAGGTGCTTTGTGTGCTTGAGTCCACAGAAATTGTCCAGCCCTCGCTTAGTAGTACTAGTTCAAGCCACGTGCACTGTTCACTGTGTCATAACAATGCAAAGAATTTGATTCTATGTTTACAAATCCACCAGTCGTGTTTGATCAAGAACACCTTTCAAACACGCTCTTGTGGCACTCAAAAAAGGAGGGGATGGACAAGAAGTGTTCTGCCTCAAGTCGCGCGGCCATGTTGACATTGGGGCTGAGATATGAGGCATCGATCTTGAACTCGGAGCCGATCGCACCCTGGTGCAGCACCGCTGGCAGTTACTGTACTATTTGGCCGCCATGCCGGTGCTTCTCTGCAACAACCCTGCCTCGATAGCCCAACCACTGTGCAAGCCGAAGCCCATTCGGACACGGTAGTTTGGCAGCCTGTCTGCTCTCGTCCAAGCCGCGACCATCGAGATGGTCAAAGCGGGTTCTCTCCCGATTCTTTTGGAATTTGGCAACGTGTTTCTGAAACACCCAATTCTGATTCTGATTCTTTTGGATTTGCCAGCAATTAACAAGAAGCTACTAGTAACAAAGGGTATCGCTACTAGGAGCAAGAAGCTCCTAGTAGCTCCTGTCATTACTAGTAGTAACAAGAAGCTACTACTTTGCCCTTAAAGTTCTTGGTCTTGGTGTTGTGCATTCCCTGCCTTTTGGCGAGCTTTGGATGGTTGCGATACTCCGCCAACAAGGGTGACTTGTTGATCTGTGCCTCGGTCCCCAGCTGTGGTGTTTCCGTGCAAAGCTAGTTTTGATTGTTACAGGTTCTTCTCCAAGCCCCTCACAATGATCTTGATGAAGGACAGCAACGACATGTCTGCAAGCTTTTTCTGCCTCAGCTCAGTTCTAGCCATGCACTGATACCAAGCCAAACTGATGTCTCGACAGCAGAATCAAATGGGCCTTGTGGAGATTGATTGTTCATCTGAGCGCCAAGGTCTTTTGTGAGTAAAGTCTAAATGTGTATGGTGATCTTTTGCTTGATTGTTCAAGTTATCGGTGTTGTTTTTTGGTAGTTCACCATATCGTTCTGCAGGGTTTGGAGCAATCTACATCATGGAAAAATCCTTCGAAGAGTAAACTCTTACATGAACTGTTTCGCCTGTTGCTCATGTCGTTTTCTGCTTGCCCAGGTCCTGGACTTGGCTGGGCTGTATCCAGAAAGCCTCCAGGTCAGTAAGAAAGCTTCACCTGTCCGGGCGGTGCAGCTAGTCCCAAAGGGTAAACCGGCTCTGGCGGGCTTTGGGCATCGCATCATGTGGCCAAACCAGTGCATCCTACTGCTTGGCCGGGCCTATGTTTTTGTTGGGGTTGCCAAAGAACTCGTTGACGCAGGAGTGAATGACCGACGCAATGCGATTCACAAAGACCATCACCTGGTCCTGGAGATTTGGCAGACACTGGAGATTTGCAAGACTTCGACTTCACACAGCTTGGGGTACTTTCATCAACAGTCTGTTTCGACTGCTTGCTTTCACTAGGAATTCACACGCGAGCGTGTGCGTGCAAGCCGGTTCCCTGTCCACTTGATCAAACCACGGACCTTCGTCCCGGGCATTCCAGCCTTCCTAAACAGTCCAACATCGGTCCTAAACGGTCAACCACCGGAGAGACCTGAGACCTCCATGCAGCATGGATGGGAGGAGATTGGGGGGATGAGACCTGCCACACGGACGACTCTGCTCCTGCAGGACTTCCGTTGCATCGGTGAAGTTTCGGATGTCGCAGAAGCCAAAAATGGCCTGTCAGTTTGTCTGTCAGACAGGATCTGTCAGGTTCGTGGTGAGTGTCAAAACCAAAAGAGAGACGGGGAAAGGAGCAAATGAGCTAAGCCGTGAATCCCTCCCAAAACCGCCCAATTCTGTATGGAAGACTGGCCAAATAGTGTTCTCTCAATGAATTTTGAAACCACCCCATAGATCAGAGAAACCTGGAGCCTGGAACAGAAAAAATTCGACTCCAGGGGTCTGAGAGGCTTGCAAGCATGTTGACAAGAGTGATTCCAGCGTAGTTTCAACATGCAGACAAATTGGGTCTGACACCCAGCATCGTCATGCAACGGGAAGAGAAAAGTCCAGGATGGATTGAGGCTGCATCTTCATGCAGCATTGAAGCAAAAATCCCTGCGGACTGTACACAAACATGACAAAACTATACAAAACTGCTCCTCGCTACAGCATCTTCATGCAGCATTGAGCAAAATCCCTGCGGACTGTAAACAAACATGACAAA